TACGGATGGCCAGTTAGCTCACTGGGTGAGCGTGGTGCTGACAACACTAAGTCAAGGGTTAAGATCCCCTTACTGGTCATCTTTTAAAAAAAAAAAAAAAAGGAATTGAAACCTTAATTCTCTTTCCTCCCTCAATAAATGAGGGACTGGAATTACAAAGGTAAATAAGACATGGACATTACCTATCTTCAAGAAGTCCAAAAGTTTAGCAGTGAGAGAGATATAAATTATACTATCATGAAATGGCTGCCTTAACTGACTTGGCATAGGTACTATGGGAACACATAACGGCTCCTATTTCTGCCTGAAGGAGTCAAAAAAGCATTCATAACCTTTACAACATGTTTGTATCTACCTTTACCTTTTTGCTCACATATTCCTCATTACTTCTCCCCCTTCCCCAAACTTTTTTCCTTCTTTGCTTTTATTAATATAAATCTATTCAAACTTCAAGGATCAATACAAATTTTTGCTTTTCCAAGACGCCTTTTCATCCCTCTCTTTTCTAAATACCTACTATTCTTAGTAGTTCAGTTTACATATTTTTGTTTCAAAAATTAGTTTTCCCTCTCCACCTATATAGTAATTACCCTGATTTTTTGACAGATTCATAAAATCTCAATAATCCTGTTTATTTAGCATATGATAATCCTATGTTCTAATACCGACTGTCTAGCACTATTACAAACATTCTCAGATCATTTCCAGTGATACTTACAGGCCAATTAACTCATCAGTTCGAGTTTTAGTGAATGAGTTCTAATACTTTTCCAGTGCTTTGGATTTTAATATGGACTCTCCCCAGTGTGGAGACTGACAATGAATGTGCATTCTATCATAACTTAAAGACCTTACAAATTCTTCCTAATCAGGTCTGAGAATACTTCCCCAAATGATTAAATCAGTTCAGGTTTGTCTACTTGTTTTACCAATAAGAAGCAGTCCAGAGTTTCTGACAATATCTGGGCCTACCCTTCTATCTTCTTTTATTCTTGTAAAATAAAAACTCATTCTGGGAGACTTCAACTTCTGTGTCTTAGAGGGGGGGAAAATAAGTACATGAACTAGCTACTGATCAGTAAAAGGGACAGAGCTAAAATTTGAAATTATATTTTTAGCTTCATTTAGTTCTGGAACCATTAACAACTTTGTCTGCAACTACTGACAGATCCTCTGGTTATCATGGCTCCATTTTTTCCTTGTTAAGGTTTATCCTAGCACTGTGGATGACTATAAAATTGGTATTTTTAGAAAAAAAAAA